CGCTTGCGAAGAGCGGGCAGCTCCCCTACACGCTTTGCCCTTCTGCCTGAAACAGCCTCTGAACTCACTTGGGAAGAAAACCAGCTGAACCAGGCTTTCACACACCACCACCCTGTGACTGAAAAGAGCTGGTAATTCAGAAGAATCAGAGCATGTGTTGGGCTGAAGGGACCTTTCAAGGTCATCCGGTCCAACCCCCCCACAGTGAGCAGGGACAACTGGGTCAGGTTGCTCAGAGCCCCCTCAAGCTGACCTTGAATGTTTCCAGTGATGGAGCCTCCACCTCCTCTGCGGGAAACCTCTACCAGGGTTTCACGGCCCTCATTATAAAGCTTCCTAACGTCTAATCCAAACCTACACATTTTTCACTTTTCTTCCTGATATCCGGTCTAAATATACTCTGCTCTCGTTTAAAACCACTGTCCCTCATCTGTCCCTACAGGCCCTTGTCAACAGCCCCTCCAGGCACTGAAGGCCACTGCAAGGTCTCCCCAGAGCCTTCTCTTCTCCAGGCTGAACAACCCCAACTTCCTCAGCCTGTCCTTGTAGGAGAGGTGCTCCAGCCCTCTGATCATTTTTGTGGCCTCCTCTGGACCCGCTCCAACAGATCCGGTCAGCTCAGGCAGTTGAGCATGGCGCTGACAACGCCAAGGTCGCGGGTTCAATTCCCGTTCCGTCCCCATGCGTTGCCTGATCTAGTCGAGAGGTGCCGTCCCTGGCAGCAGGAAGGCTGGATTAAAATGATCTCTAAGGTCCCTTCCAGCCTGGGCCTTTCTATGATTTCTATGATTTATGAGATCCACAGCCTTCTTGTGTTGAGGGCTCCACAGCTGGACGCAGTACTGCATGCAAGGTCTCACCAGAGCAGAGGGGCAGAATCACCCCCTGGACCTGCCGGCCACACTTCTCTTGAAGCAGCCCAGGACACGATCAGCCTTCTGGGCTGCGAGTGCACGTTGCTGGCTCATGTCCAGCTTTTCATCCACCGATGAAGCATGTCTACGAGCTCTGCTTTTTAAATTCATCTCCAACTAAGCATTATTCCAGCAACGCTGAAAGAAAATGTACTTAATAGGAAGAAAGTAAACGGGAAAATAATCCTCCGGAAAATTCTCAAACCAGTTTGCCTCTGAAAAATAAACCCAAGGCAAAGTTTATTAGCAAGTCCCGCAACAAGAAAGCTTAACCTGCACAGCAGCTGCGCTGCAGAGCACAGAACTATGAGTGAGCAGTAAAGGATAACGGATTAATTCCTCACTCCCCACAAAAGGTGCCTTTGTCTGTGGATTCCTGGCACCTGCATGATTTGTAACCCCCAAAGGGGGTCCAAGAGATCAAAAGATCGAAGCAAGCAGATCTGTCCTCAGATGAGAGACTGAAACCTCCACGCAGAGAACATCACAAACCTAAAAGATGACAAGGTTGACGTCTGTTTTTCTCATAACCCAGCACAGTCATGGAGGAGGAAAATTCTCCCTTAATCCTTCTGGACTATTTCAGAACAATCTGTACCCTGGTAGCTGCTGACTTAAGGTAACAGGACACAAATGTGCACCTTTTTTCCAGCTGACCCCTGATTCACTAACTCACATTTTTGATATCCTGAGTGCAAGCAAAATCTAAAAACTTGCTCTCCGAGTGTCCCTCAGTAAAAGCCTCGTTTCTAGGAAGGTAAAGATTTACATAAGCCAGATATGAAACTCCCCAGATCTGAACATGTGCATTACATACTCTAAAAAGTACCATGTTCAGGTTGGGTTTTTTAATTAACACTTTTTTTCTCAAGGACCTGAGGCTTGTCCTGGTGGATGTACATCATAAAAGGATCAGTAGATTTAAACTGTCTTTCTAAAAGTTCCACTTCTGTTAAATCACCCCCCCCAATGAAAACCTCTCTATAACTGCAGGGGATGTTCTCAGTGAATGGCTGAAAGATACCTAAATAATTTTGGAGGGGGTGTAGTTATGCTTCTTGCTCGGCTATAAATAGTACAACTTTATTGGCCGGGGATATTTTGGAGAACTAGAAGATTGTGAAATACCGTGCTGAGTCAGGAATCCAGTTCTTAACGAGACAAGTGATTCCAGTGGCCGGGAACTCCAGCACCACCGGGGAGCCGCCATCCGGATCCTGGCACTCGCAGGTTCATCGCGCTGCACCTCCTGCCAGACACTCTGCACGTATCAAACACATTTGGTATTTTATTAAGTAAACAAAGCAACGATCAGTGCACATTATAAGCAGCAAAAAGAAAAAGCGCCTCAGACTTTCATACCGTAACAAAAGTTCCGTGGAAGCTGCATTTTATTTGAAAATCCACCCATTTTTGCTAACGTACATTTTAATATTTTAAACAAAAATAGAATCTGCAGAGACAATGCAGCAAGTATGCTTAATTCATGTACAGAATTGCTTTCATATCGTTGACTATCCTTCCGAAGGCCCCACTCCACCCAAAAGTTACGATGTATGTACACAAAGCACCGATCAACAGCGCTACTTGAATTCTCCGGTAACTAAATACCCACTAGATGTGTGTAAGGAAGCTACTTCCCCACCCCCCTCTTTGTTTTTTTAACTTTTAAAAGGTACATGATCATAAACATGGCACGAGCCAAATCAAAAGGCTTCCCCCCCTCAAACACACAACACCTCATTTTTATTTTTCTTATTATTTTTTTTTTTACAGAAAAGAAGGAAAGTCTTAACGTGAAAGCAATTCCTCACATTCATTTTGGAAAGGCCTTATAATGTCAAATGTAAAAATAATGACATGCCAAGCACAAAGCAATAAAGTTCCTTCCCAACGCACTAATGCTGAATTAAAAATGTAGTGCTTCTTCTAGTCAGTTAACTGTTCCCTTGCAAAATCCTAGGCACAGAATTGACTATAAGGATTAATGCATTTTACAGCTCTTCCCTAATTCCCATATATACTGAGAATTCATTAGATTCAGACCTTGGAATTATTTAGTGCTCTGTATGTCAGCTGAGAAGCATTCTGAATCAGATTCATTCTTTGTGGATAAAAATCAGACACACTGTATACATCCATACTCATTTTTTTCATAAGGAGGTTTGCTGTTTTTCTTTTTTTTTGATACAATATTAATGTTAAATTGATAATCATAAATAAATACAAACAATAATACATAAGGAATGTCTACTGCAAACTGAATATATAATTTTTTTTAAAAAAAGTTAATTTCCATTACTGCTGTGCCTACACTTGTGAGGACTGAAGAAAAGGTAACTGCGGAATTACGAGTTAGGATCTGACCCTCCCCTGCCCAAAGTCTTGTTTCGAGTTACGGTACGGGACACATCTCCGTTCCAGACAGCAAACACCAATCTCAATTTCCAGAGTGAAGGCTTCTCTTTGTATGTAACCCATTATGGATATTATTAGAAGCTGAAAGGATTGATGTGTTAAAGTCACCAGGACAAAAAAAAACAAAACAAAACCCAAACCCAAACAGATCTTAGTTGTAATTCATGGCAATTCTTGGCTTTCTCTTGCGGGCCGATGGAGTTGCCCCAGGTTCCTTCATCGCTTCACTGCATCACGTAGTGGAAGAGGAGTGTTTGAGAGACTGACGTTCTTTCATCCTGGAAGTGGGGGTTGACTGGTGAGCACGTCTTCTTGGAAACGTTCCTTTCTCTTCCATCTAACACAGTTACATAAACTGAATCTGAAAAGATTAAAAACCCTCGTGTTAACATCCAACAGAAGCAGGCTATACATCCGTGTCTTCTTCAAAACAACTTTCCATTCTTCAAAAGCCCAAGTTCCCCCAAGAACTGAAGTTTTGAAGAGAAATAAAAATTGCACACGATCAGGGCCAGAAGACAACCAAAAGGCATCAGGGTATTTTTCCAACTACTCCAGCCTTCGGAACATCTCTTTGCATGAAGCTGGCTTGTCCAGCAATGAAACCCCTACTCGTCCCTGCAACACCGTCACCAGTGGCAGCGTAACAACAGGTCAACGTCATCAGGAACAGAACTCAAGGTCATTTTTCACGCTGAACCAGAGGAAGTGCACAAAGTCAAGCAGATGCTGTGTGCAGTAAAGCCTCCTCTTTCTTTACACTACGTCGTCTTTATTTTTTTCCTCCTCATGTTTTCACTCGTATTAATTCCCACCTGTCCCCAACTGATAAAACAAAAAGAACTCCAGTGCACATGCGTACCGAAATTTAACCCTCACACACACCAAACGAGTCCTTCCTTCTGCACAGAGCGAACTCTTAGGTCGGGCAGTCCGGTGAAGCGCATGAGGCGGCTGCCAGCAGCTGCCCGGTGGTTGCTGCTGACCACAGAAACCGTAACATTTTCCTAACAAAACGGTAAATACCAGGTAGCACCAGCTCCTTTCCCTGCCTGCGGCAAGTTCCTCGCGTGCTGGCTCTTGCAGTTCAGAAGGGAACTATTGAGCTTTATTCCCAACGGACTGAGTTTCCAAGTCACTTCCACAGCGCTTCCAACTCAACACGACTTGCTTTCAACTTTCTTCAGAAAACAGCCGTAGTCGTGCTAATAAAACCTGGATTAGAACGTGAGTTTTGTTTTATATCACAAAAACCAGGGTCTCCCCAGCATAATGGACAATACCTAAGTTGTTCTACAAGAAATCCTGGAGAGAGAGCTCTGCAAAGGGATCCTTTCCTGAGGCTCTGTGAGGACTCTGACTGGAAGGGCTGGATGCTGCAGACAGCTAGTAGGAAAGACGACAGAGAAAGGGAAAGAAAAAGAAAAAAAGGTCTCAGAATGACAGAATATGAAAGCTGAACGTGTAATGAAAGGACAAGAGGAGGTTTAAGAGGCAAACTTGGCAGAAATCAACTATTAAAACAAGGTGTTTGGTCATATGGAAAACAGAAAGCCTCTGCAATGGTTGGTGTAATGCAGAAACGAGCTCGACATGACCCTCAAGAAAGGAAACTCCAGGTGGCATTTGCCAAACAAGCAGGTAACCTCGCGCTTCTGCAGCGGTTTCCCTCAAGAGGAGATAACAGAACATTAAGCCTGACACTCCTGTGAAACCGGTCAGTGCTCTCCTTGCTTTTCTGGCAGAACTACGTACTGGCAGGGAGAGATGAGGCTGGGGGGTCTGGCCAGAGCCCCGTGGCTTTCTGGACGCCGCCTCCAGAAGAAACAGCTCTCAGCACCTTGTCCTCTCAACAGAGGATCTGTCTACAAAGCCGCTGGAGAGCAGACAGCGGGCAACTGTCAATTTGGGGCCTCAAAAGAGACCGTGGGACATATTCTGGGGATAGAAAAGAAAAATAGATAGGAGGTTGTTAGGTGCTGCCATTGCAGGCGAGAGCTGAAGACTGGACCGACACTCTCTACTATCGATACCAACAAAAATCACATCCTGCAGCCACACACAAGAAGCACCACGCGACAAATCCAGCCCTATAGCACGGAATCTGCAAGCAGGTGATACTGGCGTTCCAGCTGCTGCTGCTGGAAGGGACCAGTAATCTGCAGCCTTTAATTGCAGGCATATCTACTATTTGCTGGTTTATTTATTTTTAACCGTTTTCCCTCTTCATTAGTGCCTTCCCAGTTACAAATGCTGCTTTACTAAATTCTTTTTGCCCTCTCCCTTTGTAGAACGGGCATGTTTTCCCAGTTACAAAGAGAAACCAGCACTCTCCATTTCAGGTTTCATCACTTAAACAGCTTACTCATCAGGAGTCACTGATAGCCAGTGCAAAAAAAATCATACCCGCTGCAAAAACGATTAAAAAAATGTATGAAAACATGTTTCCTTTGGAAATACAACCTACACATGACAGGGAGCATGCTTCCGGGAAGCGCTTGCAAAATGCCCAGAGCATAAACGTGGCCGCTACAAATTTAAATGTTTCATGTTAGTGTCTATGTCAGAAACCAGGTGAGGAGAAGGAGCTCTTTCAGGACCAGGACTCTCTGTCTGGGTTGGGATCTTTAATTCAACAGGCCCCATAAACAGATTATGGAGGAGTCATGAGACAGAATGGGAAGTGCTAGAGAAGCAGTTTTGGGATGTCGGAAGCTCCCCTTTTAAACCTGGTGCTGCCCTTTAGAAAGCTGTAGCTCACACCCCACCACTCTGCAGGATTTGAGCCAGACTAACAATAAAGCCCAACACAGTCACAATGTTAGCCAGGCACACCTGCTGCTACTCGATCTCATGAGACATTCCTCGTCTTCACGGTCAAATGGCTTGAAATCACATATTAAAAGTCCGGTTAAACTGAGATGGCAAATCTCCAACTGATACCAAGCCCAAAGTGGCGCCCCAGTTGGACAGCAGTGCGGAAACTGGCAGGTTTAGAGCTCTGGCATTCATGCAACATCAGCACATAACCAGAAACGGAGGTGAAACTTCAGGAAGCCTGTTCAGGTTAAATACTGGGCGGAAAAAAACCCTCAAACCTGACAATGCTACTTTCTAGACACCACAGCCAAGACACAGCACCTTACAGTAAGTACGTGTTTTAATGACACTCCTCTAACTATTAAAAAGGAGGCCTCAAGAAAACATGGGAAGCACAGGTAAACAGTTTCCTATATTGCATCTATCCGGAATTCTGCTTATATCCAAAACCCTGAACCTACCCGAGCAGTTCCTAAGGACAAGCAGTTCAAACAATAGCGCTGGAAATCAGTTTCTCTAGCAGTGATGCCTGGAACCACGGCTGTAGCCTCCCGACTGCCCGGCGCTGAGGCGATGAGGGAGGCAGCCGTGCCAGGCAGGGCCAGGGCCACAGCCCAGCCTCACCTCCAGCACAGCCGTCACTCCTCGCTGCTTCCCACACAGACAGAGCCTCCCCGAGGCCACCGGAAGGCAGACGAGCGCGTGCTCACTCCCATCGCTAGCCAGGTACCGGCTTCTCTTTCAACGAGTCTGGCGAGCTGCGTTCGCACACACGTTGGGATTCACGTTCTGGAAGAAGCACCTGTAAAATCTACTGTCTGGCCTAAGTCTGTCCTGAACTTCATACCCTGCTCTTCCAGTTTAAGAAACACTCAACGACCAGAACCCGGCAACAACAACAAACCCACCACTCACAAAAAAATAAAGCACCCCACAAAGCCAACTTACTCATCTGCACGCTTACCTATTCTGGTCATCACCAGGCGATCACTCCTACTACTTTTTCGGTACAATTCAGTGGTGTTACCAACCACTGTTACAACTCTCACACGGGTACTGGGAGTAGCCCGAGTAATTTTTTTCATCTACTTTAAACCATAAAATTTTCACTGCCCAGCTGCTGCCCCTCCTGAGGCTCGGTCCTTTCGGGGTAATCAGACCAGCAGACGTATCCCACAAAGGCATACTGCTGATTTTTCAGCATTGTACCGTTTCATATTAGCCAACACAACGATATTTTTGGTGACAGTGACCACTCAAACACTGTTGTCATGCTTACAACGCGTGTTTTACAACGCAGAGTAGTGTTGCAGTTAAGTGAACACACACACACGCACTCTCCTCCCTGCCAGCTAAAATTTAATGAACTCTCACTATTCTCACTGTTCTATGTATCTCAGCGAGTTGTGGTGAGGAGAGCCCGCTATTTTATCACAACGGAAGCTATTTTTGTCTCTCTCAAGCAGGAAATACTGACCCTAATCCAAAATAAGCGATTTCAAAGAGAAAAGGTACACACTGGTTTCTTTTAAAACTACGAGTACCTTTTGCACCTAGATTTTCAAAGAAGCAACTGTTCCAGTCTCATTCTCAGTTTTCAAATTATTTTGCCCTTGAAAACACCCCAGTCTACTCTGTTTTCTGACAGCAACAACTGGAAATAAGGTTGCATGCATGTAAAAACAACACTTTAAAGAGAGGCAAAATGTTTAGAGGTAGAAAAAGCACATTTATTAAGACAAATCCTTAAGAGTAACAAGATGGAAACACCAGTTTAAATTATAAAGAAGCTGGGCAATGTTGGGATGCCTATTTTGCCAGTGTGTGTACGAAGCGGGGAGTTCCCAGCACACTGCAGTTGCTTTATTGATGTCAGATTTGTAAAAATTCAAACACTCACAGGCAATGCTGACTGTGTGTCTCAGGGAAAACCCTTCCTGGTCAAACAGCAAACACTGATTCAAAGGCTGCGTTTTCTATCAAATTAATTGTCGCAGGAGCCAAACGCGTTGTCGGATAAGCACCTCACTTGTGGCCAATTCCCCTCTCTGGTGTTGGGACAGCCACCAGCCACCCGGGATTCAACCCAGGCCAAGCCTTGCAAGGTCAAATGAAGCAGAAAAGCTCACCTGGATATTCAGGATCTACCTACATGTTTATAACTGAATTAGGTAAGAAGGCAGTTGTGTGGGGCTTTTTAAAGCATCATTTCAAAATCAATGTTTTTGGGAATTGCAGGAAAAAACTCTTACCCTTGAGAATCCTTTAACTTTGTTTTTTAACTAGAGTTGCAAACACATTTTCCTCTCCCCCTTGAAATAGTGTAAGACTCACAGGAAAGACATCAAATCACGTGTCTGAAGTGCCAGTGTATGTGCAAAGCAGGTCTCAAGTCCAAGAGAAAGTAATCTGATAACTGCGTTTCTAGCTAAAGAAATCTAACAGCATCCTTTTCAGATAAAGCCTTTAAACAAACTAAGTTAAAACCTATCCTCAAGGCTCTCTTTGAAGGAAGACAGACACACTGCCCACTGGCAGCATCCAGCACAGCTTCTGTTAAAGGAACAGGTTCAGGCAGTGAAAAAGGTTTGGGTCTCTTCTCCTTTCCAACCTACTGCTGCATTCTTTTCCCTTCACCTTCTAGTCCCAAAAACCCCATGCACCAAGCTACACCTAAGTGAGTTCCACGTGCATGTTTTTAAACAGTTACCTATAAAGCTCATTATAGTAACATCAAAACACAGTCCCAATTTATTACATTTTTCTTAAAAGAGTCATGACATACAGTGTGAACTCCGACAAAGAAGAATTTTGCTTGTAAGTAAAACCACACCGTTAATACTGGAGTTTTGATCTGCAGCTAAAGCTGGCTCTGCCTCTGACTACAGCTCTCATAAACAACAAAGTCTTAATCATCTCCAACTTTTCGGAAAGCAGGATGAAGGCACTCAAGGTTGTCCATTCCCTCCGCACCACTACTGCTAATTTTTAAATTTTTTTTAAAAATGTTCTTCCTAGTGCAAAATACTGTCTTTGGATGGCTACTGGGTTAAAAAGGTGAGTTCAGGTAGAAACTGCCCGGTGATAGAAGTTTGCAAAACAAACAATAAAACTCCAGCACTGATAAAGTCAGTTGTTCTCAGTGTTCACCAGCAGTACAAGAAGAGTAGCCCTTCAGCACACTTGTCCACTCCCGGATGTTGGGTAATGAATTTACACACAACAGATGCTGAGGAGCAGGAAAGCAGGTAAGGCCAGGAAGGCTCCACTTCCCGTAACACCTTACTTAGCGGGCAAAGGCCAGACAGCCCGGGATAGCTCCCCAGTATCTTCATTATGCAGTAAATTGCAACTCTGCACAAACACGGAGGAATATGGAGACCTTGGGAGAACGCTGCGGTTAAGACTAGATGAATGTGCCACGTGCCTCCCACAGAGCAGTCAAGGACAACCAACCAGGTGCTGGCTTGAAGCTTCACCAGGTTTGCTATAATGTTCTATTCTGTAACATTCACAGACTTAAAACATTACGTACGCCCTGGCTGTGCCCTGCAAAATGCCATCATATCGGCCTGCATCTTGAACTTAGAAAGCTCACAGCTACCGCCAGACTTGGTTATTTTACAGTCTAATACTTTTCAGTGTAAGAGGCCAAACACCAGCACCACTGTGTATTACAGAAAAAGCTGGTTTTTTAGAGAAAAAGGTGCAGTCAGGTGGAGTCGGGCTCTTCTCCCAGACAACCAGTGACAGGACGAGAGGGCCCGGCCTGAAACTGCGTCAGGGGAGGTTCAGGTTGGGTCTCAGGCAGCCCTTCCTCACGGAGAGGGGGCTCAGGCACTGGGATGCTCTGCCCAGGGAAGTGCTGGAGTCACCGTCCCTGGAGGGGTTTAAGGAGAGGCTGGATGTGGCACTTGGTGCCCTGGTCTGGCCCATGTGGGGGTGTTGGGTCATGGGCTGGACTTGATCTTGGAGGGCTTTTCCAGCCTCAACAATTCTGTGATTCTGTAAAACAAACTCGATGCTGCCAACCTGCATACAAGAACCTGGGAAGCAATCCTTACATCAACTACTGGGCTCGTGTGCTACATTTGCCCAACTCAAAATATTAAAATACTCATAAAGAAACCAGCCCAGCTGTGGTTTGTTCCCAGTACCAATGATTTTGAACATACACACCTGTGCTCCCGGTACAGGGCCAAAAGGGTTTGGTGGTCTCATGACTGGCTGACTGTATATTAAAGTTGGCTGTGTCATTACTGGTATGCCTCCCATCTGCGATGGCTACAAGAAAAAAAAAAAAATCCAGACGACATCAAATCACACACACATAGCATTAACGCAGCACAAGTAATTAAGGAGAAAGGAAAATGTTAAATGGGTGAAAAGTCTTGGCCATATTTGATCTATGATTTGATCACACAATCAGGTAAGAACTGTCAACAAGATTCTGCAAATAAAGGTTACTAAAAAGGAACATTAGAGCCTTTCCAATAACCCTCGGTAACAACTGAGCCCCTTTAATCTTTTTCTGCTAAGATGCAAAACACTAAAATATTTGTTCAAGCACAAACATTTGTGCTGACCCTTCTACTCCCAAAACTGAGGTGACAGCACTTCCCTGTCTGCCTCCAAAAGCACGAGAACAGTTTTACAGGTACCAACGCGGAGCAGACAGTTCAAGAAAAACTGAAAGCTGAGAATTACACGTCCAATTAATGTTATTGCACAATCAAAGTCTACAGTGTTACTGCACAATCAAAGTCTACAGTGTTACTGACACCCTGGCTGAGCCAAATTAAGAGTTTAACACATATTAACAGACTTAGAAGTCAGGCTTTATTTACTTTACATAGAGGCCCACCTCTGGTGCTGCTTTTGGCACTCCCTGCAGGCTTGGGCTGACACCCAGCAGTAGCCCTACTGAAGCAATTCCCATTCCAAGCACCTTTTCCTCGACTAATGCTGGAACAACTCCCATCACACCAACCAGCTGTTGGGGCAATCACCTGGTGAATCCATTCAAGAAACTGACCCTGATGCAAACACCTTACAAAAATGTTAAAAATAACTTCTGGCACAACAAAGCGACCAGGGAACGCTGGGGTGCTAACGAAACTGCTCTCGTCAAGGGAAACACCTGCTCCTGGATTGCCACTTCAAAACAGCCACGCTTTGAACTGTGCTACCTACTGCTGCTTTTAGGAAAAATTAAATACAGAGGCTGTAAAATTGGTCAACATATCAGACCTTCCTAGCAGCCAGCATCCTGATCTAAGTCTGAATGAGTCAGGACAGTTTTCAGGATGTGTTCTAAAGCCTCCTGGCCATTTGGTACTGGCCCAGCTCACCCATGTGCCCAGACACTGCCTGCTCTTCAGCAAGAAAGAGCAATAACTGAGCTATGGCTCCGATTCACTCCAGTTCCCACTGGCATTTATACTCTGTGCTGAAAGCTGCTTTACAAAACACACAACATCACTTTCTACACACTAAATACGTTACCTTGCCCAGCTGCTCAATCAAAATAACTTCCAATACTGCCAGTGCCAGGTTATGGAGATCAAGTGTGAATGAGCACTAAACAGTTTAACCCACAGCAACTTTGCACAGAACACATGTGAGGCTCTCCTAACGGCCCTCAAGAAGTAGCTTATCTACTGAGCATACAGAAATTATAAATCACTAATCTCAGCTGATTACACGATGAAAGAGTTTATTTTTCCTATACTAATCCAACAGCCATTTAACAGACAAAACCCACTGAAGTAGATCAGAAAAAATGACGTAGTGAAGAATAAACCAACAGGAGCTGAAATTCGGTCTTCAGCACAACAGTTCAGAAAAATGACTGCTACCAAAGAGTAAGTAACTTGTTTGAGCTGCAGGAGTTCCACTCACCATCCCGTAGCCCATCATTCCCGTCGGCGTTGTGGCAGGATAGGCCATTACCGGAGGTGCCTGGTGTGAGAAACAGGGGTGAACTGAGAGGAGAAGAGATCAGCTGTGTCCTGGTAAGACATTGCTCTCTTAGGCTCAACTGCAGCACTTGGCTTCTTACAAACACAGCACAGAGTAACAAGGATCTGCAGTCTCTGTTAAGAGCTTGACCAAATTATTTCAGATGGAATACAATACCTAAGCTAAAGCTTCAAGGTAATCTTGGCAAACCTATAATGAGGTATTTGCTTTTAAGCTGTTAGGATTCTGGGCGACTAAACTAAACTGCAAGCTACCATCCTCTCAAGAGCCTGTTTAGAGAATGTAGCACGAGAGACAGAGAAGTTTGAGAGAAAAGGTTCAGGATATATAGACTTCCAATGAAGCATATACTTGTATTTCAGTATCAGAAGTGATGGTGCAGAAGTAGCCTGAAGAGAGAAATGCTTCTGCCGACATCACAGGAATTCTCTTCTCTTCAGCCAGGTTGTACACACCACGGGGATTCTCCCGCCAGGCACATTAAAAGTCCTCTTAGGACTTCGCAGATGTTTATGCTACCCCTAACCTACGCTAAGGTCTATGAAGTTACAGTAAGACACCTGTCAACAGAGAAAGCCTGGGGGAAGAGAATGTTTTGCAAACAGCTTGACAATATTTATGTAGAAAACCAGCTGATAACTTTCAGTAAGAAAATATGTATTAAAGACAATTCTTTGTACCCTAATCATACTCTCTGCTCTGCAGTTTGATTACCCACTTTCTACACTAGTATTAACTCTTCCAAGGACAAAAATATTTTGGGTTTGTTTTTTCAGACTATTAATTGGTGCTTACAAATATTCAGGTAACTTTCTGCCTGGCCTCTCCACCTCCTGTTAGTGTCTCCTTTAAAAAACCAACAGTCTAATATTCATGGTACTGCTGGGGGGATTACTGGTCATGACAAGACAAAGACCATATGCATTTCTTGGTACACAGAGGTTATTGATATAGAAAAAAAAGGAACTGACAAATTAATAATACTGGATTAATTAAAGCAGATCAATTTTAACATCAAACATAGGACATCAGCAAAGCTGCTTCTGAATTCAGTCCTAAGGTATCAGCTGCCTTTTCACAGACAGTGGCCAGTGGCACTGGCGTTCCAACTGCCCTCAGAACAGATTTCCCCCATCAAAAATCACCCTGACTGTGCACTATCCATATATTTCAGCCAGCTGGTAAAGCTATCTTGAAAATTACTTTTTTTTTTTGTTTTGCTTGTGTATCCACACCTACAAACACGCTGACTAAAGTTCTTTTTGAGTGCTCACGTATGGACCTACCATCCTCTAGTTACAGCTACTCTGCAATAAAAACAGGACACAGGGAAAGACCAATATCACTGTTGACATAAAGAAAAAAACCCTTTGAAATGAAAGGCTGCATTCCTCGCACAGCAAGCACATGTTAGAGCTTGCCCTTTGTAAACTGCCAGCATGGATTTTCTTCTTTTTTTTTTTTTTTTTTTTAGTAAAAGCATTAATAACATATTGGTCTCTCCCCACTGAAAAAAAAAAGTAATCAAGGTCTACCATAAATGTGGATAAAGTGCCAAGTATATAACAGAAGCCCGTGAGGTTTCATGCAGTTATTCAAACACAGACATTTTTATCTTCATTCAAAATTCACCAAGTGCATTGAAGGCAGCACAGACACACATCCCAGCTCTCTGGCAGCAAATGGTACAGTTTAAAGCAAGGAAAAATAATCTTGGTATTTCCCATGCCATCATTCGAGTCAAGAGCCTGCAGACCACCTATGAAGTTCGTGTATGCTAGGAGAAGCTCAATTTTTGGCACACCAAAGATTTTAAAATGAGAAATGTGTAAATAGCAAGAAGGTTATGAGATTCTGCAACAGCAGTGGTTAATATCAGCATGCCAAATCGATTGCAAAAAGGCTGTGGGTTGTTTCACTTACGTATTGTGGAAAATGCATGCCATTCTGTATTTCCCAGGGAGAACAATTACATAATGCAATAACACTGGATTAGAAGCAAAATACTTACACAACAGAATATACACAGATAAGCATTTTAGTTCACAAATACATTAAATGTTTACCCCAACACATTCTTGTAATTCAAGTCATTTGCTGAGACAACACACATCTGTGACACTGTCACCGTTATTATGTTTGGGATTGTTTTGCACAGTCCATTTATTTGGTATATGCCTTTTTTCCAAGGACGAGATAGCCTTATTTTCAAAAGCATACTTATTCAGCAAGCAGCAGCAACTCCACAATAAATAGACCAGCAGAGGAAGACAAGCATTTTTCCCCCCTCAATTTGTTCTAAATTAATAGGACAGTTTCACAGGGAGAGAAATATCTCAACAGTACCTCTAAATACTAAAGGCTGTTAAATGCAATGACTTGTCACAAGAAGATGTATATACAAGACATGAGTTATTAAACAGATTCAAGCACACAAGTAAACTCAAACCACCGGTCATGAAAGCAGGTGAGTAGCTACAGGTACTTCAGTATCTACACACCCTCCAATAAGGTCCACAAACATTTGTCCCTACACAAAGGCAGTGTAGGGACAAGTGCTGAAGGACACCAGGAGGGATGAGAAGATGGATCCAGAGGGATCCAACAGCTCTCTCCCCAAATCTGCAACGCTGTATTATCACAGCCTCCCCCAGCCAGTTAGATGCAATAGATCCTCCGGGGCAGTTTGTTTCCTGTTCTGTCCATGTACAGGTTTCCGGGTCATTGGTGAAAGGGTGAGTAGGATTCACATTCAGCCTTGTGAAAACTACTCATAACCTTTTTTTTTTTTTTTTTGACATGTAGTTAAGAGCCCTTGCTCTACACGCTCACCTCAAATCCTTGCCAATCCTGCCTGCCAGACACTATGAAGCTGATGAGTACAACTGACATGCATTAAAAACAACTGCACACATCAGGGCAGGAAAGCAGCAGTTATGTTTGGTAAGAAAGCTACAGCCCAGACCGCTGCGCTGACACCTCTGCAAGTATCAAGAGCATCAATCTCTCAGCCCGTTCTCACCCAGAGAGCAGGCCCAGCTGTAACATCATAGGTCCTACAGCAAGTGTGTATCAGGGCACCCAAAGAAGATACTCTTTGCACTTTTACTTCCCTTGACTGCAAAGTGCTCCCACCCTCATCCTTCCAGCAAACTGGAATTCACAGTTCTGTATCAGCTCAGTGAGACAGGAAAGCTGCTATCTGCCCATGAGAAAGGCTGGTCAAACACTGCTGAAATTAATAAACTATCAGCTATAATCAGAAAAATAAATCCAAGCAGTACACATCTCAAATTGACCACTTCAACCTTCTGCTGCCCTTTCACAGCAACTATAGATCACTTGCAAATTTCTGTTACACGTGTGCCTGCAGATCTAAGTTGCAAGGAACTCCCTGTTCTAAAATGAGCATTTACTTACCAATGTTGGAGCATTCCACGCAGTTGTAGGTGCAATCTTGGGTTGCCAGTTGGAACCACCTGTCAGTTTCTTCTCACCTGGCTGAGTCCAACTGACATCACTTAAAATAAATATTTTAAAGAACAGTTAGAAAGCATCGGATTTTTCTACAAAACTCCCTCAAGTAAACAATGTTTCCTCCTAGAAGTGCAGCTTCTTTTGCTAGTGAAGAAACTCATTTAGCAAAGGAGTTGGTAAAAGATCTCAGGGCAGCTCGTTTTGGGTAGGAAAAGCGAGGTAAGACGTTCAACATGAGCTACCTCAGCTTTATCTAATCTCAGTTGAGTTCCCCAGTAGAGGTAAGTTAGGCTAGCTGGCTTTCCTTAGGTCAAGATAGTCTAGTTAGGAGCAACTGTGTAGTAGATTTCTGGATGATTTTAGAGTTGGCACAGATGGTCTCCATAAGCCTGAAATTTGCTAATCACATTCTCAACTTCACTCCTAGAGCAGGTGTTCACTAATCTAGAATACGCTCTGCTTCAAAATTCACTTGTCTAAAGGTCAGCCATGAGTCAGAGGCTGTAGTTTCACTGCCTTTTACACAGCCCTGCACATGCTCAGCTCACACACAGCCTAAGGCGTGCTAAGATTACCTACAAAGAAACATTCTGTTGAACTCACTCCCTAAATTCATCCGAAGCCTGAAAGGGATCGGAGACAGGAGGACATCCTGCCTGCTGTCAGCACTGTCACTGCCACTCAGTTTACACTCACTTCCGACAACTCTCACCAAATCATTGTACTTTGTATGGGAAACAAAGTACAACCTCAGCCTTGCTCTGAAGGTTATGTTGTCACAGGATTGAATGTATACTTTCATGAAAAGTTACTATCAAGAAAATCAAAACACCTGACTTTTGGTTAAGCATACTCACTTTTTAGTAGTTCCATTTCCAATGCCCAAATCTGTCACAAAGTAAAAAAAAAAATAAACAAAACTATTGGAATTCTATTAATTTAGAGGAACTAAATGATTAAATAATTCATATGAATTAAACAATTCACATGTTTAGTGGTTCGATACTCACTGCCTACAAGATTGGCTAAAGATGAATCCAGATCATCTGACACTAATTTGTTAGGTGGTACTTTGGCAACTGGGAGACTCTGGTTTTGAGAGGCCACTGTTGGTTTTAAGAGACCACCTAGTTCATCAAAGCCTGGAATGAAAAACAGAAGTGATCTGAATCACAGGCCTCCCACGAATGTCGGGACATTCAATTAAAGCAACAGCAAGTTCAACAAAAGGGCTAAAATACAAAATTTAACCTACTGATACTACACTATCAAGACGGATCAAAATTACAAAGCCTTTCTGATAAAGTAGATATCTACTACAGAAAGGAGATTTCACTTTTCTAGTTTAATCTATGTGATAACAATTTCATGCAGAACAGATTCACAATACCTGCAAAGCAATCGAAATGTAAACCGTAGTATCTAAAGTATTTCAATCTTATAAAAACTCTTATGTGTTTGCTTTTAGCACATGGCTGGTTTGCCCCCCAAATACCTGATGTCTACACTCCCATGTCTGAAGACCAGAAAGTATTTACTTTCTAGGTGCTTGAAAGTACAGAAAGAACACTAATTATGATTAGAATCCAAATTAGCTGTGTATTTTGATAATTTATCATTTTCTGAGGTAATCAACATTGAAAGCATAACATAGGCAAAGTAGTGCCAATGAGTTGCACAAATACATACAATTAAGATGCAACTTTACCTCTTCTGACCACATTCTACAAATACAGACTTAATTTTAGCTGACGGGGTGTAAAAATTGAAGCTGTTCACCGTGTGAAGCTCCAACACAAAATATTTAAACGAAGGAAATTAACGTAAGCCTAGGATGCACATAAAAATAAGGAAAAATTATTTGATCAATAAAGCAAAATTGGATGAAGAATGTTGCTCTTGACCTTTCAAAGACAGCTTTCTTCAGCTGGAACACTGTCACAGTAGTATGAGCAAACAAAGACTAAGAGATTTATACCTCAAGAAAAAAAAAAGTTAAAGGACATGCATCATCTATTTTACTAAATGTCTTACCACCAGAATCTAGGACAACATTAGAAGATTTGTTTCCAAACACAGACTCAAAGTCAACATTAAGGCCAGCTGATGGCTGTGGTTGAGCAACAGGAGATGGAGTGAACCCTGTGGGGAAAAAGAAAGAAGTTGAATGTTTTTCTACAGCATTTCCCATCAATCTACCTTCTTTATGCAAGACAAGCCAAATAAATAGTAGATTATTTAAGTAGCGCAGAAAGTCTAGCGATACCTCAAAGGTCCAGATCACACCCTGACACCGAGAAGCATGTAAGAGAGAGCTGGAAGCAGCTGATCTGAAGTTAATTTGGAGTTACTCCTCCCAAAAAAGGTTTCATCTCAG